ATGACATTAAATAATACCAAGTGCATACCTATGAATGCTTAGAGATTTTATTAATCTCTGATTGAACCTGATGTTGCTGGGAGGTGTTAGCTAGCTTGAGAACCACTTCCTGCTTTTCTTCTAAAGGTAATTTAAGGTGTTTCTGGCCAATTGCTCTATCATGAATGGATGCCTAAGTCCTTAACAAGAAACATGTGTGTGCATAAAACAGCTGGAGAAATGGATGTACACTCCTCCCAACAACAAACACTCATAACCCATTGTGTTATTTTTGGTGGCAACCAAAATGCCATTGCAAGCTGATGGCATATGAATAGTGGTCACATGACAGAAATAGTGCCACCCGAGAGCCAGTAGTTAGTGACATAAGCATCATGGCTACTGAAGATCTCTTTTCAGAGAAGAGAGCTGATACACAAGAACACACAGTGCAATTTTAGTCAAGAAAACTGCGATGTGCAGTTGAAAATGCCCAAGCTGCATAATATCTTCTGATTTCTAACTAAAAAAGTGCAATCTTGACATCAAAGCATTAATCAAACATCTGAGGAAAATTTATCTTACTAAAATACAATACCAAAGATCTAATAAATCAATTTTACCAAAATATATAAACATTTAGAAGCATAAGTGCATTTAGTAGGATACTTTCATTTAAAAAAAAAAAAAAACCTCTTAAAATCTATGAGCCATTCAATGTATACACAACACAAACAGTGGCAATAAGGCTATGATTACAGCCCAGGGTCCTAACTAACATCACTGTAGTCCATGTATAGTATATTTTTATGCCACGTGCTTATGGTATATATGTGTGTGTAAGGTTGGGGATATAGTCACACACAGTTCTGACACCTACACAAGTGGCATGCACATAACTGAGAATTTGTGGCTTGTTCTTTTATACCTTATGCCTTGTACATTGCGGGATTCCTAATAGTCTAGGGGTGGATAGAGTCAAGGGCTGGGAAGCATGGAGTTTCTCCTGCCCCCTACTCTGAGGACACAGAAACAGGCCCAGGTGCTCCCAGAATTGAGTCTTGAGTAACAATCATTGTCTGGCAATCCCACACAGACACCCTTGCACAAACAGGGGAGGACCCTAGGCCTCCCAAAGAATGAACTGCTGTTACTTCACAGGGGGTAGTTTATTATGCAGGCTTTTCCTCCTAACTGCTCAATCCAGTCTCTTCAGTGCTACTCCTCAAGATATTAAAATGTGTCTTCTCTGGTGTTATGTTTTTCGCAATGTTTTGGGTCAAGATTAAATCTCAATGGACTTTAAATATTCAAGACAACTGCAAACAAAATCAGCCAGCACTTGCGGTCTGACTTTCAGGGCTGAACCAGTGAAACAGATTTCCTGTAATGCTGTTTTCTTCTGGGTCTACCCCCTCTTTGTCCTATCACAATTTGGACAATTTTGGAAGAAAGCATGATGCTTTACTCTTGGACCTCACCTCCACAAGCTCACCTTTACAACTGGACACAGGTAGAGCCCTGACTCAAAGTAAATAAGAAAACACATGGGAGTTAATGCTGTCATTTCCCAACTACCCTTTCCTTCAGGCAGTGTCTCAGTGTGGAAGCAAGTGACATGAACCCTACTGATGCCTGTCTCCTAAAATGAGACGTTCTTTATCACCAGCTCTGTGGGAAGAGCCTTTTGTTACTCCAATGGTAATTCTTAAATATCTCAGCGTATGAAAGGGAAATACGAATCTAGTGTATAGGAGTTTCTTTTAGAATCATTTGCCCTTCCTCCTCCAGAATCATCTTAAACACCCTTGTTAAGAGTTGATGGTCCTCCTCAAATGTATCTAACCTTCCATGTTTATAAAAGCATAGCTGTATAAATGCATTTGTTTACCTCTTGTATAATTTTCAGGCACAAGTTAATCACACTGGACAAAGATCCTAGATGAGGATTCTTTATCTTCAGCCCAATCCACAGAGGCTCAGGTGCTAAATCTGAGCTGTGGACATTCTTGCAGCTTAGGCCTGAGGTATTTTAGGATCCTAGGGTAAACACTGTCTAGCATGGGGAGTGGCAGTAGTCCCCACTTCTCCTCTGCCACTTCATTTCCTAAAACAAAAGAACACAAGGTAGGCATGGCCATGTTGTGCCCATTGGAAGCTGGGTTTGGCATTAGGTCTTATCATTCTATAATTATGTAAAATATCACTACTGTGATATTTTAGAAGTCTACATTAGGTGCAAAGTGGAAAGTCCATGTCAGCTCTAGCTAAAGGATGACAGATCACTTGAGAAGAGCTTTGCTGTCATGACAGTAAAGGCAGGCTTCATGAAGAGCACTAAAGTGGATAAAGCATGGTTTCCATGCTAACAGAACTCTTCTGATTCTGAGGAGGAAGGAGATATGATTACAGAAGTGTGAGTCACTTCAAAGGAGATGGCCTTAAACACAGCAATCCATTACAAAGTTCCTTAGTGGAACCCCCCACCCAGATGCTACTCCTGCAGTGCTCTCTACCTAAGGCCGGGCCTCACCATGAACCTCCATGCCCTAATATCATCTGTACCCCCAAACACCTGTGGTAACTGATGGAGTCCCATTGGATACTTCACTGGAATACAGTTACTAGTAAGCAGACATTCCCTGTTTGTTCATTTGTTGGTAATTTAAAAACCTTCCAAAATCATTAATATCCACAAAGCGACAATTCTCTGTTAAATTGTATAAACCCTGAAAACTACAGTAATAAAGCAGGAATTGTGCAAGACATTGGAAACTCAATTATTACCATGCACCACAGTCAATAAAGGAACTAAGAGGAAAACAGATTGCTCGCAAGGTCTGAGGTCCTTCACTTTGTTTTCATACTGGATCAACCAGTTTATGTTTTATCCACTGCTGAGCAATACAATCAAGAGCCTTTAACAATTCTACCAGTTTTAAGTAGCAATGTTAAAAGAATTCATTTTGGTATAAGATTGTAACAATTTAACTTAAAAATCAAAATAGCTAAAAAATAAGCTAAATTATGAAATGAGAATGAATTTGATTTGTAACTGTCAGATAGACTCTGATCCAAGCACTGAAGTCTTAATAAAGTTGCAGTAAGAACACTGTATTTAAGAAATGCAATCTAAGAGATCATAAGTTACAGGCAGAGACAGACTTATAGACATTTCCAATATATACATTCATTTTCAAATATCATCAAAGTGTAAACACAACTTAAAATGATCACCCTCCTGTTTTCACTCTTATAAATGAACACAAAGAAGCTTCCAGTGCAATCCAGGTTTGTTTTGTTCCCCCCAAGGAAAGAAAAAGGGCTAAAATATACAATAGCAAGCATTAGTATTCCTAATTTTTGCTAGTCTTCTGGTATCTGTAGTTCAGTAATGTGTCTCTTGGTTTCCTAAAATATTAACAGGTGGCAAAGCATTAGACATCTGAAGTCAGGAGCAGGCACCCAGTACTCCACCCAAGCAAGAACCACGAAGCAGGTCTGGTAACTGCACTAGGTTACTCCCACATCACGTTTAAGACTGAAGTGTGTCTGTTCTAGAAGGATCAAAACTTAACAGAAGTGCTCTGGGCCAGGATAAAAAGCAGGCCCTGGGACAAAGAATCAGATTAAGTTCCTGGTTCAGATAATTTCCGAATTTGTATGTTTCAAAACTAATAATGAAAAAGAAAAGTCACAATGTTAGAATACAAGGTGTGGCCACACTGGCAATGGGCTCCTATCCTCGCAGACACCTGTCATGCGTCCTCAGCCTGAGACAGGCTCTGCATCTCTGCTCAACCAGAAGAGCTGTGCGCAGGGGCAGGGCTGTGGGCAGAAGGGCCCGGTGGAGTAAGGAAGTAAAATATGGGCCCAGGAATCCATTTGGCCTCTAGTTCTACTTTGAAATTTGTCGTGTTTAGATGACATCAGTTTTTTAAGAGTCAATTCAACAATGAGAGTTAGATACATAAGCAAAAGAAGCAAGACTAAAGGCAAGCAAACAAATAACCCTCAGGATTTGAAATGTCTCGAGATGAGTTTTATTTTCTCCTCCTCCTGCCCCCCGTCTCCTGCAGTCAGTTCAGGTTGGTGAAATACTGGAATCCTTAATACTGGCCTTAAGCATAAAATCTGACACTGCTAAAGTCTACCTCATGTCTTAAATATGCCTGGAAATCTCTATAATACAGAAGAGAATTCCTTAAAAAATAAGTCATTCAAAATGTCTCTAAAATGTACCTGACAGCCATTCTTCACAAAAGAATTGTGTGTGCTCAAAAAAAAAAAAAAAAAAAAAATAGTTCTCTGGTTGACTGTTACTCAATCTCAATCCACAACAACCAGTATTTCTAGTTTTAATTCTTAAAGTACATTTGTTAAAATACTAACCGAGCCCACTTGGGAAATTCTGAGTAGACAATATGTGATAAGTTCCTGATTGTGTCACAGGCAGGCTGAAGACCAGCCAGAATGTATCCCAAGAGAGGAAACCTGAACGTTGTTTCCTTAACATCAATTTCCTGTCCGATTTGTTGGGAGGGAGGGGCTGTATTGTGTTTGTCAGTGCCGTTGAAACCCTGGGCTCGCATTGCTGGCAAACCAAACAGCAGATATCAGCACCCATGGTTGTACTAGGCACTGACTTGCTCTTCTTTGTTCATAAATACTTGGAGGAGAGTGTTGCCTCCCCGCCCCCCAGTAACCCACTTCTGTGTTCTTGTAGAGGTAACATATAGCTACTAGTTTGTCTCTCTTTCTGACTCCCAGCGAATGGAGCAACAGGCTTGCTCTTTTCCTCATCTGGAAATTATGTGCTGGATACCCACATTCCCCTAACAGCACTGACTTGCTGTACAGTCAGAACTGAGGGGAGCCTTTCCTACACACTGTACTAGAATCTGCAACCCAGGAGATGGTGCAGCTCTCTCATCTCAAGGCAGGTACCCCCTGCACACGAACAGCCACAGCTACTATCTGAGTTTCAGGGGCTCTCAGTGAAAATTATTCTACCCACAACGTTAGGGTGAGTCCTGCTCTCATTGGCTGGGTCAGGCTGATTTTCCAAGTGGCACCACACACTCAACACAGCACAGGATGTCGCTAAGTAGAAGATAAAAATGGTATTTCTGGTTTGTTAATAAACCAAAGGTGGCTTGGGGTTATTTTAAGAGGTTAAAATTAAGAGTGCATCCAACACACAGTTCTTTGAACTGCCTACAGTGGCATTATCCCCATCAGTTTCTTCTTCATCCTCTGCAGGAGAAGGGGGGCAGGAAGGGGCGGGACATCCCTCAAGCTTCCCCACCTACTGGAGGAGGCCAGGGATTACTGCTCACTGTTGCTTTCTTTTGTTGACGTCATCTTCTCTGATTTTTTAGACTTTCTCTGCATTTGCTCTTGTTCCCTCCTCCTCAGTTTTTCTCGTTGTTTTTCCATCTTCTCTTGGGCCTTCCGAGCTTTCTCTAGAGACATCTTCATTTCCTTCAGTTTTTTTTTAACCAGTGCCCGGTCCTGGGATGATGCCATTCCAAGAGCCTACAAAGGAAACACGTGCACACACTGAATCTGAAAAGCTCCTGACCTCTTTGCTTATGATGAGGAAAACATCTTACACTGTGTTTAATCTCATGACCCTGGTTAAACATAGATGGAGGAGGTCAGCGCTGAGGAAAAGCGGACTACACTTGCTAAATTCTGTATGCATGGAGGATCTGTGCTTTGTTCTTTGACAAATGCACTCCAGAAGTCATTAAGAGAACGCTTTCCAAATTGGTGACTAATGAGCGAATAAATAAAAAGGGCATGATCCTGCTTCTTCAACCTTCCACTAAAGTGTTGCTAAACTCATCGATATCTTCAAAGGGTAGCAGAGAGCACCTGCTGTCACAGAAGGCTCCAAGAAGGGCAGGAAGAAGTGAAAGGGCCTCTCTTTTACCAATGTAGTTATTTACAATGAGAACCAAAAATGTCTTTGGGACGAGGGTGCCCACGTCAGCATCTCTCTAGACATCGTCTCCCCAAAGGCAGAGCTATAAAGGAGGCCCGATTATACTGATGAGGTTGCAGGATGAGCTTAGAATTCAGAATCAGGGGAGATGGTTGTATACTTGAAATGTTCCATGACCTTCAGCATCAACAGCAGGATGCATCCGTCTCCCCAACAGGGACAGTGCCGTCAATGGGGCCTTCATATTCACAAGCTATTGATTGATCGCTAACCTTTTCAAAGACTGTCAAGAGACACTCATCTATCCATCAGCCTCGCAAGGCTCTGAGCAGTGGGGAGGGAGGGTGGGACTGGCTTTATCCTCCTCTTGCCCTTTCTCCACAGGGTTGGGCGCCACCTCAGTCTCTAAGAGAGATGGGCTGGATGAGGGGAAGTGACGGTGTAATGGAGGTGACAGAGAGGGATGGCTGGCTTATACCTGGGGATGTCATTTCAGTTTTCAAGTAGTCGGTAGGAGGGAGAGCATGGAGGAGAAACTAAGGAAGAAGGATTCGCATTGGCCATTATTAAGATTTAATAGTTGAGTGGTGTTAATATGGATGTCACATGTTGCCAGGAGAAGCAAAGGAAAGGGTCCCCAACTCTCTTGATCAGCAGTCTGTCCTGAGTCAGAGCCCCTGATGACCTTCCTGAAGCTTCATCCCCACCGAGAAATAACTCAGCATCTTTTCTGCTGGGTATTGATGAAAATGGATTATGAAGAACACTCTCAGCTAATGAAAACATGCCAGATGCCTCAAGAAAAACATGTAACCGGTAACCTAACACAGACACATAATTCTTTACCTTCAGTTTATTTCCATCCAGCTGCAGGAGCTGCTCCCCAGTGATGTTCTGGGCACTGAATTCAGACACATACTGGTCCAGATTTAGGCTCATTAACCAGTGAGAGACCTGCTGCACACTCCATTCATGAACGACCCGATTCAGACTCTGACTGTGTTTGGGAGACTGTCCGTCATCAAGGATCTGAGATAGGAATTTATGCAGTGTTGTTAAATGACTAAAACACCATGGCTCATATTATGCTACCAAGGGAATTTCTCCAGCTACAAGAGCCACATTTACTGGTAAATCATAAAATTATAATAGTTCTATTTATGTTAAGAAGAAACATGTCTATTACTTAGTGATTCTGGTAGAAGGAAAATTAAAAATAACACACAAATAAAATATCATTACAAAGGAAGGATGTTAAAAATTGAGAAAATACGCACTAACACTGATGATTTTATAATACATTACTATGGGGATATTATCAGAGGTAAAAAATAAATATTTCATAGCTGTCTATATTCAATATATCACTTTAGAGTTAACCTTTTTGAAGACACTAAAGTTACATTAAGAACACATTAAAAATAATGTCTCCACTTTCTAGAGAAAGGTCTTAAAGCACTCAAGCCTTCTTAAGGAAATTTCACAGCCATTATCCCATGTGAGCAGGAAGCAAACCTGGGAGGAAGGCAGGGCACTAACATCCCACAGTTGTTTTTAGGAAATGAGAATCAAGTTTCAGAAAGTTTACAAGATCCCTCTTAAACAATACGTTCGTAAGTGGCAGAGCTTACAAAGAGGCTCATTGCAAATTTCAGGCTCTATCCACAGTAGAACTCCCCTTTATGTGTGCAAGGAGGCAGGAGAGCTCCTAGAAACACTAAGTTGAGAGAAGATGAAGCCATGATAGGGCTCAGAGGAAAGACAGGAGTTACCCTGGTGAGCCTCTTGAAGAACAGAGAAGAGAAGAGGGTGTAGGCTGAGGGGAAGGCAAAGGATGCGGAAAAGAATGGACCATGTCAGGTAATGGCTATGGGAGACAAATGAGGGACTCTGGAGGTGGACCCAGCGCCTCTCCATCCAACAACACCTCTTAAGTAAAATGCAAACAAGGGCAATCTTTTCCCACCACTACAGAGAAAGTATATTTTTTTTCGAGACAGGGTTTCTCTGTAGCTTTGGAGACTGTCCTGGCACTCACTCTGTAGACCAGGCTGGTCTTGGACTCACAGAGATCCACCTGCCTCCCAAGTGCTGGGATTAAAGGCGTGAGCCACCACTGTCTGGCCACAGAAAGTATTCTTGTAGTGTTGGATTCCTAAGTCATGTGAAAGGAGCAAAAGGCAGGTTCAAATCAGACAAGGTATCACACACAGGCCACAGATAGCTCACCTCATCATCTATCATATCCAAGCTCTGGGTGAGCAGCAACAAAAGAACCAAGAAGAAGAGTGTTACAGAGATGGATCACACGACATCCACAGTGCACCCTTTATTACATCAAAATCAAGACAGCTAGAAAAACGTGACCAAGAAAGCTTAAAAGGAAAAAACCCCAGAGTTTTGTTGCACAAAACTCATGTTGGAAAGAAATAAGAACAATTATTTTGTATGTAAGAGCAATCATATTTTGGTTATATTATTTCTTGACACCCCCCCACTCCCACCAGTTTTTAGAAGTAGTCAATCCCAACATATTCTTCTTTTCTCCTACACACATGCTTCCTGATAATTCTTAGCAATGCTAAACCTCACTCTAGCAGCATCTGGTTCTTACACCGTTTTCTTTCCAGAACTGTGCCTATTGGTTGCAATGGTTCAACTGGGGTAATATCACAGTCAGAGGACTGTCAGGAGCCTAAGGAAGGGGTGACTCTGGATAAGAGAGAGAATGGATCATTAACACCTTCCAAGTGATCTAAACTGCTATCTAGTCTCATTCTCTAGTGCCTAGCTTCCCTACCATGTGTGTTTACATATATAAAGGGATGTCTGGGAAGCTTCAAGGGGCTCAGAAACTACACTTTTCTTTAATGTTGGAGAAGAGGGGGTAGAATCATGAAGACCTGTGTTAAACGTAAAACCTCAGTGCTAATGATTTCTATGCTAAATCTACCTTCAAATATCTTCCCATAGTGGGATATGGAGGAAATGTGTGCACAAAAACTAAGTTCTGCCATTGTGCCATTCCAGTACCTCATCCGAGGACAGTGCCAGGGACTGGGAGAGCCCCGGGGTTTTGGGTTCTGCTCCTAAGCCGCTCAGGTCTGCAGAGCTGGTACTACTTGGACTGAAGTCATCATTGAAGGTGAAATTCTGTAAAAACAAATAAAACCATGTTACGGGAACACACAGACTGAAGTAGAGGCAGGCGTGCTTCCAAGTCCTCGACTGCTTCATTTCAATCAGTGTTCTTTAGAAGAGACCCGACTTTGGTTTCGTGGTGATGGCCTCCAATTGGGCAGTGGCACAGGATGCTGCACCTTCTGAGACTGACTGGAAATCCTGGGCACTTTCCCCAAGGATAGGTTTTGTGGAGAAATGATTTTTCGTTTCTCTCCAAGGGTACAGAATTCATTATCCTCTGTAACTGCTCAGAGGAGTGACATTAATAAAACCCACCTGCTTTGACCCTAATTGTGATGAGCAACAGAGGAAGTAGGAGCAAAAGATGCTGTGAAGAGGCTGAGTTATCAGGAACAGATGGCAACTCACATCAGGAAGGTAGCTGGAGTGCCCCTGGGAAAGATGGCGTGTGGGCTGGCTGTGATAAATACTGTGAGAAGTGACAGGTCCCCTCCTGGATGTACCCTTCAGAGTGATGAGTTCTGGAGGAGGGCATGGTCTGACAACACAACACTAGTTACATGTTGGAATATAAGCCAAAAAGACCGGTGTGGAATAGACCCCCAAGTCTGCTAACCTCCTGGGGTTAGGGAGGTAGAATGGGGGGGAGGATGGATCCCCCAGAACTCCTTTAACATGCTCAGCAGATGTTAAAGCAACTTGACAATGGGCACAGAGCCTCACTTGTAAAATCATTGTATACTGAACCTCTCTTTAGTGTGAGATAATCCTAGAATCACTCAAGTAAAATTTAAGTCTCAGAACAGCACTAAAGGCCCAAAGGGTTGATTATGACTAAAACTTCTTTGCTACTTGTCAAACAGCAGGATTCCTACCCACACTAAGCAACTGCCCAACACCAACTTGTTTCATACTGCCCTTCTTTAGGAAGTGGACTGGGATTCCTATTAGGTTCCTTTGTGTTGGGTTAAGTTGATCATTGAGAATAAATACCATGCTAGAGTCTAGGGAGTTTAGTACCAACCCAACTCCAAGATCTGATAATCTTCCAGAAAGGGGTAAGGCTGATAGAACATTCAAGCCACAAGGTATTGTACACAAAACATCACGCTTGGTATCACTGGAGATGCAATCCTCCAGCCCTTCAGTCAAAGCCCTTTGAGCTGCTTACATCAAGGAAAGAAGTACATTCAAGTAAGATTAATCACACATTTCTGCTTGGGGGAAAAAGAGTGAACACAGAAAAAAGGAGACCAAGTAGCTCGAAGGTTAGCCACCGAATGTGTTTCAGTAAAATGTTAGATGAGGTTTGCAGTGTCATGCTGGAAAAAAATAACCATCATGCATTTTGAAATGTATCACAGCCATGTACATAGCTTCTGATTTTGCTAACGGCAAAGAACTTGGTGGCAGAATTAGAATGGGTGCTCTGCACAGTCTATAAGAAGTAGATCTGATGCAAAAGTAAGGCGGTTTTTGTTCTGTTTGTTTGCTTCACTTAAGTGTACAGAACACAGTCCCAAATTGACCCGTTTTCCAGTAAATGTTGATGAGCACAGTGAAAGAGTTTCATAATGCAATTTAAAGAATACACATTTACCAATACTGTTTTATCATCCAAATGCCTCCTTCCCAGCATGGCGCAGCTGTCAAACTGAGATTAAATAGCAGTAAGTGAAATGACAGGCAAATTGAAGAGAAATGCACACGACAGGATAGAACAATATTAAAGAGGGTGCCAGTTAGGTGAGGCATTTTTCCCCAAAAGGAAACACCATGCATGCCTATGGCAGTGTTAGCACATTGACTCCTCAGATCCAGGGTGTACACACAGGGGAGAAGGCCTTCCAAAAATCGAAGAGGAGATAGGATTGGAAGCTTTCTTGTCAGTTTTTTAGTCCACTGTTGTCTACCTTGGACCCTGTTTTATCTGAAATTAGTGTCTCGGGAGAAGGCTGCAGGGGACTCGGAACTGAAGGCAGGTTCTTGAAGGAATAGGATCCTCTGCGGCCTTCATTAAACCATGAGAAGGGCATGCAAGGAGAGCGAGTGGAGGCCTGAGCCGCAGGGGAAGGCTTGGCTTTCCAATTCTCCAACTTGCTTCTGAAGATCCTGTGGTGTGGAAAGAATGGGCACGTTAGACAAAGAAATGGCAAAAGACATACTGAACCTAATTCCAAAGAGACTCTTACATAGGTAAAACTCGGAGAAGCTGTTCTATTTAGGATAATAAAAATGTATCACCTTGGGCAACAGCATTAACTTTAATAGTTACCTTTTTTACATTTAAATAGAATCTACGCTAACACATTGTTTTGGACTGCTATTTCCATGGCAAAAGTGTACTAAATGTGTCTTTTTAACTATTCATGGATGAATTAAAATCAGAGTGGCAGCCTTTGAGACTGCTCTTAGGACAGCCATCAAGCAAGTGACACTAGCTCATAACCAGCGTTCTGTCTACCTCCCTCTGGATTCATGCTTCCATCATCCATGGCTGAAAGACTGAGTGGTCTGGAAATTTCAGAGCATGTGCTATGTTAAGCAGGAACATGTAGCTTACTGGTTTCTCATCATAAGCTCAGTGTCATTTCACAGAAGGAGTATAGGGCCTGATATCTTCATGGGCCACTTAAAAGCTGAGGGCTTGCCACCTCCTGAGTGTGTAGCCTCAGGCCTTCTCTGTCCCCCTGTCCCAATCTGTACAAAGTGAATATGCTGACGTATCTCATATGTAACTGCTATGAATTAAATAGATTTAACACTTGTCTAAGAGGCATGAAAGCCATTAAAGTATAAATGTTCAGGTTTAAAGATTCATGGGCAGTTGAGAAACACAGTTTTTTGTTTTTTAAACTTCATGTAGGTACTTTCATATTTGTATTTGTCTACTGGTTAAGTGAAAATACTTGTGCAGGAGCTGAAGAAGAAAATGCTTGTGTGTATTTGGAAGCGATGAACCTCCCTATCACTGTTCTTGGTAGCTGTTGATACTATGACAACAGCTTGAGACACCCCCCCCCGCAACTGAAAATGCCTGGATACCATGGACTTAGATACTTTCCAACCCTCATTTATGTTGAATCCCAGTCTCCTTCCACCTCATTTCAAGCACACTTTGAAATATAATTCAAATTGACATAAACAGTACCAAGTCTTAAAACTTCTGGCTGGTTTCCAGATAGAATACAAGAACCACATGCAGCTATCCTCATGCAATCATCCTGGAGACTGCAGGCAATACACAGATGCAAAAAAGTTGTAAGAACAGCTAATGAGAACAGGAACCTTTGTAAAGTTTTGGTAAAACTGAAATAGCAGGATGGGTGAATAAAATTCATGGTCACGTACAAGTATCCAGAAGATGCAATCATGTTATAGTGTCTTTAAAGAGTCTGTGGGGGGAGTGGGGTGTCTTCAAGGATAACAGCAATCAAGGAGCGGCAGTTTGACCCTGAACTTCATCTTAAAGCTTTAACATAATGGAAGATTTTGTACTCTTACTCTAGTTACGTATTAGCACAAGACAGAAGAGTACAATAACTGAGCCAAAGCACACTTGCAGGGGTCTTGGGCTCTTTTTTATTCTTTGCCCATGGACCAAGTAAAGCTGGTACAGATGTTAGATTCACAACTTAGGAATAGGAGGAGAGAAGGGAATTTGACCTGGAATTTGTATTCCAATACTGATCTGAGCTGACTCTTAAATAGCTCCATCTTCTATTATTATGATTATCCCGAATGTAAATACAATGTAAGTCATCACAGAACAGATAACAACAAGGATACCGTGCAAAAAAAAATTGCTTCTTGGCTCTACACACTCCACTTTCCTCTTACAGGTCCTGACACTTTGAGTCCCTGAAGTTATCATACCTCCAGCCTACACTGAGGTGAAGGGCTCTGGAAATATCAGTCTAGAGGGCAATAAAGCAAACTGACAGCTGTCCTGTCACCCCTCTGGGAGAGGGGGAGAAATCCTACCTCCATAAGGCAAACAATCCCAGTTAGAATGTTAATAAATACATCTACGATGGAGATAAGACCAGAGACTCCAGTTTTAGTGCAGCGATTGACTCTGGAGTTTCATCATTCTGATTTGTCCCCCTTCCCCCTAAAATGTGACCTTGTGCTGTCTGGAGACAAACTCTTTGGGGCTCTGGTCATCTAATCACTTAGCTTCTAGGGCTTGTCTTTAACTAAGTCCCTACACTCCAGTAAAAATGTCCATAAAGGTCTGTTCCAAAACACAGACACATCTTCTCTGCAGTCCCACACCCTAGAGACTGGACATGTCTAAGGAAAAGATGGTCCTGAAGGCCGTACTCCCTTCTGCCTGGACAATGCTGAATCTAGGGAACTGAGTATGGCAGTTCTTGGCTTGACAGCCACTGTCTAGGAGTTTACAAGGAAGCTATGCAACTCATCCTACTCCCAAATCAATTGTCTTTGTAACAATGGCTCTAGACCATTACCATGACTGTAAGGAGAATAAAGCTGCCATTCACCAGCTTCATTTGAAAAAGACTTTAGGGAATCCAAATCTAGGGCAAACAATAGCTGACAAAAATCTGAAGATCCCAGGAAAATATTAAAGACTAATAATGAGTATGAATATGTAGATACAACGTTGAGGATGGGCTCCAGGTCATGCTGTCCTCACAGTGGTGAACAAGATCATGCAACCCCAGCCTCTGCCACAGGGTCACTTTCTGCAGCCTTATATACAACGATAATGGAGAGTTTGGGAAAGAGTTGGCAGGAAGCAATGGCAGCCCACTTCCAGGGTAATACCATTGTTCCATGGTTGCAACCTGGCAGATTCTGGAGTTTTGTTTTTCCAGCTCTCCGTGAGTCTGGCCGTGCCCTGCTGTGTCTGCCTTCTAGCTCCATTATTTATTCTCTGTAACTTAAAAAAAAAATCCATGACTGTGGAACCAACCCCTGTGTGCAACCCTTCTTCTCAAAGAAAAGAACTCACTTCCATTTGCTTGGACCTAGAGTAATAGAATATTCATTAAGACACCCAATGCTCTATTACTTTAGAATTACAGATGCAACTGCCTACCAGGCATGCTTACTAAAACAAACACCAATTTCGTCCTAGATAAACCGAACTTGAGCCTACGAAGGAGCAAGAAGGGTTTGGTAGCTGATATTCTGTTTTGACTGCCTTCCCTTCCTCCCTTCCTCTTTTCATTTCTTTTCCCCTTTCTTCCTCTGTCCTCTAAATCTGGGTTAGTAGAATGGATTTTTAATGGATGTGAATATGACTTCCAAAGGGTCAAAAGAGGTGTGTGCTACACTTCCTTCACCTACGATAGCTCAGAAACCAAAGGCTTATCATTAAGGGAAAAAAAAAGGTCAAAGAATCTCAAGTCCCCACCATAGTACACCCTTACATGCTTTATTGTTAGAAGAAACAATTGTCATCAACTTTAATTTTCAGAAGCCAATGATGTCATTGTATTAACCTTCCTGGTAGTCAAATGGTTTATGGTTAATAGCTTTCTTGTGCAATTAACTCATTTACATATACTCTGGAACCCATTTATACAGGCACCCTAAAACGCAACTTTTTCAGGTAAAAACCCTACAGTGATAATGTCATTTTAATTCAGAAAACATGGTATATGAAGTACTCAGAACTAGTAAGATATCATCAAAATATCATTTACAGTTCATAAAGTGCCAAGCAGAAAGAGGGAGCAGTAGGAACCACAGAAATATGTCGATTGTGACAGTTGTAACAAGAGGGTGTGTGCAGCCCTCACTTATCTAAGTCAGCTGAAGTAATTTTGAAAGAATCTGAGACCCAGTGAAGAGACTGAGGTTTTTGGTCCAGACCCATCCACAGGGAACTTAGAGAGCCTGGTTGGGAGCATTACAAACATGTCCATCTGGCATTCAGGCTCAGTCACCCTGGACATCTGCTCCCAGATCTAGAGCTCTGGCCAGAATTTCTGATCAGCAGCCAAGAGTCCATCTTAGAGTCACAGTAGACAGCTCAGCCTTAACTCCCAGGAGAGGATCAAACTATTCCCTTTTCTCTGCAGGCTTTAAGCTAAAATTGCAAAAGTATCATGTAGATCCATGTTCTCAAAACAGATGTTAATTTCAGGACAACAAATCCACTGCCTAAGTATTCAATAAAAGTGTGCTATCCCAAATCTGAGCAAAATGTGCCTTTTGGTTCTATTAAAATTTCTATTTTCATTAATTTTGGTGATTGCGTTAACCCAGAGCCTTAGGCATGCTCATTACATACCCTGTATCTGAGCTATACCCTTGCAAATTTAAATTTACTTTAATGTTCTAAACCTTGTCTCCCTCCCTCTCTCCCTCTCTCCCTCCCTCCTTCCCTTCCATCGCTCCCTCCCCTCTTTCCAGTACTTACAAGTTCATTTCTGTGTGCATGTATGTGTGTGGAGGCCAAAGGCCGACAATATCACATGTCTTTGTCTACCACTCTCACTTTGCAATTTTGAAACAGTCTCTCACTGAATGTGGAGGTCACCTTTGTATAGGGGGTTCCAGAGGTCCACACGTCTCTTCCTTCAGAGCTGGGGTTTTAGATGTGAACTGACAAGCCCAGCTTTTATATGTGTGTCAGGGACCTAAGCCCAGGTTCTTATGCATGTTTGGCAAGTAACTTAAGAGCTGATTGAACCATCTCTCCAGCCCACTAAATCTCACTTTAGACTTGTGTTTTTATATATAAGGCCAAACAAAGTGACTGAGTAGGAAGGCTTAGAGTCCCCTTATGGTTACAAATTTAGTACAGAATGTTTAAATGGAAGTTTCTCTTTGTTCTGAAGTTCAAGTTCAGCTCGGGAGTTACTATGTAGCACAGGGAATGATCTAGAATTTATGATCCCCTGCCTCCATCTCCCAAGTGCTGGGACTCCAAGCATGGGGCACTGGACCATTTTAGGGGCTATGGTGAAGCTCAGCATTCCATGCACCCCAGGCAAGCGCTCTAATGACTGAGCCCAGGACTTTTTTTTTTTTACTTTATTCAGAAGTTGTTAGGATTTTTTTTTTTTTTTTTTGAGTTTCAGCTTGTGAAGCTGACATGTGCAGCCATTGGAGAGTCCCTTGGAGGCTAAGTC